GCAGAGATCAGAGTAATGCATGATAATGCCAAGGATACCAAAGGTTGCCAGGCAGCCTCGAGGAACTAGGAAAAAGGCCCCCGGAGCTTCCAAAAGAAACCAACCCTGTTAACATCTTGATTTCGGATGTCTAGCCTCTAGAACTGTAACAAAATATATTTCTGTTTTAAGCTACCAAGTTTGTGGTAACCCTATTGCAGCAGCCCTAGGAAAACAGCACGAGTGCCAAGAGTTTGAATAAAAAATTCAAATGGGGAAGGAGTGAAAAGAAAATGGTGAGTAAATACAAATCAACACACACATACAACAAGCCAATAGAAATATGCAAAGTTACTGCAGTCCTCATTTCTATAATTGTCTGCAAGCTATAATTGATATCTGCAGCTTTCTCCCCACCTTTACCCATTCTGTATTTCCTCTACCCTCAGCCAGAAACTCAGTTGGTCAGGATTCTTGGTGGAGTGATCCAAACCTTCATTTCCAAAAGGTCTAAGTCCTCCAATGCCCTACCTTTTATTTTCACTTGCTGTTGTTTTTCATTTACCTTAACATTGAAGTAGTGAGAGGATCCTTAGAGGATCCCCTAGATTCTAGAGCATACTCCTTGCCCCCATTGTCTAGAAACAAACCAATATCCTCTCAGTCATCAGGATCCATCACGCCAGCCAGTGGATTACCTCCTGTTTTTGCCTTTTGCCTCAGTGGCGTAAGGAAATGGCCAAGTGGTAATCTCATTGTGTAACATGGCAAAACCACTGTTGCATCTCCTGATGGAAGCACCTCTCCTTGGAGGCTGAGGTCTCTAAACCAGCAGAAGACAGAGTTTCCAATTAAGGAAGGAAAAATTCTGAGAGTAGAGGGAATTATGAGAAGAGCTACTCTCACTACCATAACTAGATTCAAATGTATCTTGGCTATGGGAAAAACAGCAAAATATAATGGTCTCTGACTCAAAACATATAAGACAGAATCCCATTTTCCAGGGTATTGTCTTCCAGCTGAGATCATAATTGAGTCTTCAGTGAGCCATTTCACCATTCAGTTATGCCAGCTGCTTCCAAGTGATGGTATATGTGATAACCCTCATTAATACTATTGGCATGGTCCATTGCTGCACCTCCTTTGCTATGAAATGAGTTCCCCGATCAAATGCAATGTTGAGTAGAGTGCACTGATGGTAGACAGGGCATTTTGTGAGTTCACAGATAGTGGTGCTGGCAGAAACATTATAAGCAGTAAAGGAAAATCCATTTCCAAAATAGGTAATTATTCCAATTAAGATGAATCTTTGCTCCATGATGGAACAAGTCCAATGTAATCAACCTGCCACCAGATGGCCGGTTCATTACCCCTGGGAATGGTGCCATTATCAGGTACTCAGTTGTTGTTCTCTCCTCTTGAAATATTAACTAGTTGGCAGTAGTGCTGGCAGGGTAAACTTTGGAAAGGGGAATTCCAGGTTGTTGAGCACATGCATAGTGTCCATTCCTGCCACTATGGCCACTTTGCTTATAAGACCGCTGAGCAAGCACTGGCTTGCTGGCAAAGAGGCTGACTGATATCCACAGAGTGTGCCATTATGTCCAGCTGATTATTAGGAATCTCCTTAGCAATGGATATATTTAATGTAGCCGATACACTTCATAGTTTGTATACATTCAGATAAGTCCGTCCATATATCTCTTTCCCACACTTCCTTGTCACCTATTTTTCAATCTCATTCTTTCCAAGTCACTAACTATCTATACAAGTCAATAGCAACTGCCCATTCTGGTCATTTCTCTCTCCAAACATGCTGGGTAAACAAATGTACTGTTTGAATGATGCCCACCTGGAGGAGTTTCCTTCCCCACTGCCCTTCTGGCCTCTGAGTAGGGCTAGGATAGCCACCTGTGCTGCAGAAGATGGATTCTAGAGAGGGCTTCCATGCTGCAGGAGCCTGTCAGGGAAACACACCAGAACCAGAAAGTAAACGCTTTTCTATTTAAATGCCTCTCTAGCATTCTCTATGGACAGAACTTACCACTGTGGTAGGTACACACACAATGGTAAGTTCTGTCCATAGAGAATGCTGAGAGAAGTAGTAGAAGACTATTTTAAGGGGTCAGATCCATCTATAGAGAGAAAGCATGGAAAATTAATTTGAAAGTGAGAGGTAATAAATCAATTACAGCACAGGTACTATATAGCTGGCTAGCTTAGGCCAAAAACTACCTCTGTCAATCACCGTGGCTATTGCAGCTCCAATTTGGTCTCTCAGACTAGGGATAGGCAGAGAGGAAAAGTAGTTCTCCCAAAATAAAAGCCTATGGCCTTTGGTTAGAGGAATGAGTCTATGGGATAATGTGATAGACCTATTATTACTATTTTGTATAAATTTAGAAGTACAAATGCAGTTTTGATGCACGGATATATTGCATAGTGGTTGAAATCTGGGCTTTTAGTGTTAACCATCACCAGAATAGTATAATAGGTCTATAATTAATAGAGAATAGTGCCTGCAGCAAAACCAAATCCAATTCCAGAATGAGGAACTATTGTAGGGAAGCAAACTACTGGCCGATCCATGACAAAAGAGAGTCTAAAGTAATTGACATTCCTGCTTCTATGTATTTGGCTGGTCCCCTTGAAGGAGAATACCTCATAAGGACCTTAGAACTGGTCGCCATTGCTGTAACGTTGACTTTTCAGCAGTGGCAGTAGCCACTGGAATAGAGAGTTTCCCCTGCCATTTCCTTGGTAAATCATGTTACTTTCCAGCTTAAAACTCCAATTTCCCTACCACTTGGAAGAAAGTCCAAACTCCTTCTATGGTCTGCAAGACACTGAGAGTTCAAGACCTTAATTAGCCTCCAGTTTCAACGGCTGCCATCCTTCCTTTGCTCTGTTTCTCGATGCGCTAGCCACACTAATACCCCAGCACAGCAAGCACTCAGCACATCTTGTTCCCTCTGCCTGGGACTCTACATACATCCTTCCCACTCCCCCATTTTAGAAATCGGCTGAGATGTTTCCTCCTAAGAGTCCTCTCCCCACCACCACACAGACATTACTTTCTAACCCAGCTTCTTGTTCATTTTCTTCATTAAACCTGACCCAACATATAATTACTATCCCTTGAAAAATAAATTAGTACAGAAATGAAAACAAACTCCATCATTCTACAGAGCTTTCAAATGCTGATATGTTTCTGAACACTCAGAGGGGAAAGCAAAAAATCAAAAAGCATCCTTGGATAGCTCGTAAATAATAAAAAACCCAAATGGTTGCCTACTGCCAAAACCCCAAGAAAGCAGCCCACGTCTTCTCTTTTAAAAAGGTAATGACATTTTCATTTTTCATCTATTCCCACTAATCAGAGACCAGGTACCCATGAACCCGGCTCGAAGTCATCTTTTAATAATTAAATCAGGGCTGCCATTGACCTCAACTAGCGCCAGAGGCTTCTGACTGCAGCCAAGCTCCGGAGAGGCTGAAGCCGGCTTGGGAATGGGAAGCGTGGGTCCAGGGGCCGGGAGCTTGCGTGCGTCGTAGCGTGGCGTGGCACTCCCAGGGCCCTTAGGCAATTCTCGCTCCCGAGGGCAGCGCCTCTCAGGCCATCCCCGAGGGGTCCCGAGAACGCACTCGGGCTCCAGGGCGGCGGTTCAAACGGGTGACTGTGCACCCCCGAGATTCCCCAGGCCCCTGCAGGGCTACTTGGGCGCAGAGCTGCGGAGGGGTCTCTGTCCCCAGACGTCCTCCTACTCCGGGCTGTCTGAGTCCTCGCCAGCAGCCGCCCTCTCCCACATCCCATCCTTCCTGCATCTGCCTCTCCGTTCCGGAGGGACTGTCCCGACCGCAAACCCACGTCGAGTAAGGAATGTGGAAAGTACAGGTGACAGAAGTGGCCTACACTCCTGCGTTATCCCTCCGTCTCTCCACACCTTGTGTCTCCATCTCTCCCCTTTCCTTCCCTCAGACCGTCATCTGTCATCCCCTGTCGCTCTAAGACCAGGATTTCAATTTCCCCAGCGAGGAATCTCACTAGGGGAACTTATCGCGACATCATAAATTAACGCGTTCATTTTGACTGAAAAACCGAAGGACTTTTTTCAGGCAAAGTAAATCTCGTCTGGTCGGTAAGGGCTAGCTTTACCAATTATATAATGGGGGTGGAGAGGACCTTTTGTATAAATTTAGTGAGCTAACGAGAAGTTCTAAGGTTTTGAAAAAAAAAAAAAAGCCACCTAAATATTCGACTGTATGACAGAAATTACTACACGTTTAGATATCAACTAAAAATATACAAGGGATACACGGTGTTTTCAGAACCCTTTCAAGCGGTTCTTAAAAGAGTCTAGCCCGATGCTCACTAGCACCGCCCCCACTCCACCACTCACCGCCCCCCAACCCACCTCCCCTGCCCTCGCCGCGCCCAACGGGTGAGCAGGAGGGACCTGACTTGGGGACCAGGAAAGAGGAAGGAAGCGTGAGGGGGGGGGGCGGGGGGACGGGTAGGGAAAGTGACGGGAGCAGTGAGAGCCGGAAATGAGTGGCTAGCGAGGCACCCGGGAGCTCCTTGTCCGGTGACGCTCTAGCCTCCGTGCGTTGTCTCTATGTTCCTCCGCTTCTGGTCTATTTATTGTCGCGGAGAAGCGGCGGCCGCCTCGCACCCGGAACAACAAAGCCGGGAAGACGGAGTCCGAGCCTCGGGGGCTCCTAGCAACGGGCCGGGGCGGGAGTTCCATGGAGACTGGGGAGCGCGCCCGTCTCATCCTCATCCTCGTCCTCCAGCTTCTCCTTCGCATCCGACGCAACCGGCAGCAGCGCTGCCGCCGAGTCCTCTGCCGCCGCTCCCTCTTCCCACGGTAGCCCCCCAGGCGACCCTGGGCGCGGGGAGCGCGGGAGGCTGAGCGGCCCGAACGTCGGGTGCCGGGCATCTGGGCGCGGGGTGGGCATGTGCGGAGCCCAGGTCAGACTTGGGGTAGGGTGTGCGGGGGCGGGCGACTGGAGGGCAGCCTCTGAGGTGGGGGAAACCGATCTGGTGGCCGAGGGAGGGCTCAGTTCTGAAGAGGACTGGGCGATATTTGGGGATCTCGTTAGGGATAACGGGTTGCGGGTGGGGCGTCCGTACCTGGAAGCGTTATCGAGCTTGGTGTAGGATAAGAAAAGAAGGGTTATTTTTCGTTTAAGCCACCACTAGGAAAGACAGGGAAGAGATTCCTCATCTGTCTCTGGAGCCATCTCCCAGGGGAGGAAGGACCGTGCAAAGATGCTAGGGGTCCGTTGCTTCTCAGAAAACTTACAGCGGCCTCTCTAGTAGCTCCCCAAAAGCGGCTTCATCGGTTTCTGGTTCTGGTAATGCCGGCAGCCCTGCTTTATCATATTATTATTATTTTTGACCAAATTTAGGATTGATAGAGAAGGATCTAGAACTGAAGAAGAGAAAATGAATTGTGGGTAGGGCTTAGCAGGGATGAGAGCCAGAATAAGTGATAAAAATAGCCCATAAAAGCCCTAAAAGTAAACCTAATGGGGTATAAGGACTTAAAAAAAAAAAAAATCTCTTCTACTGCCGAGATGTGCCTCTGCAGGCTCTGTCAATGTGCTCATTGCAATAAGACTCAAACTGCAGTCAGTCCACATCTGTGAGCTCTCTGACTGCATCTGTCACCTGCAGTTCCAAAGAGACCCTTGCAGTAAGTAGCATGAGCTTCTGTATTTACGGTTCAGAACAGTGCCTTAAAACTGTGACTCAAGAAAAGGGAGCATACTTGGTAGGGTGTGTGTGTGTGTGTGTGTGTGTGTGTGTTTGAGCAATGTGGACTATGGGAAAATTTAAAAAGAGATACCTAAGAAGGTTCAGCCATCCTGGCATAATTTCGTAGTCTCTGAGAAAATGGCAGTTCATTCCAGTTGAGAAGTGACTTTTAGCACTATCTGGTTGAAAGAATTATTGTTTGGTATGCCCAGTGAAGTACCAGTTTATGCTCTCTTGTTAGCCTTACATCACAAGCTGCTTAATGGTTTTATACTTTCCAAAATCATTTTAGGTGAGTAATTGAGGTTTTCCTGTAGCACAATGAAAAGGCCACATATACAAAGTTCTTTCGTAAAGTTGAAGATTAAAGATGAAAATAAAATTGACAAATCATAGGGGCAATTAGGTCAACCACAGCTTCTGTTTGTCCCCCACCCCTTTTGTTAAACCTGGCTTCTCAAGCAAAAAAAGATGTCATCCTTTTCCCCAGGCTCCTCTTTATATACCCTCTGCCCTCAAAATCAGTATCGGAAACTGTAGTGACCTACTGCTGTGTGCGCGTGATTAGCTGGCTTATTCCTGAATGAGGGCCAGCCAGAATATAGTTTTAGCATCTTAAGCTTTTAATATGGAATTGAGGTCCAGTGTCTGTTAAAGGAATTTCATTCATGTGCAAAAACGTGGACAAAATGGAAAGTGTGAACATTGGGAAACCTAAGTTGCATTTTAAGACTCTAAGAAGAAAAAGACAGTATTAACATCTTTAGATAAATGAATCAAAGACTGTTGCTTAATCTTTGTAGCAGTTCTGAGAAGGATTTGCTGGGATAGCCACAGTTGAGGCTGTGGATGTTGAATCCTGGGATTATCTTTGTGCATATGAGACTTGACGAAGTGTCCCTCAACCTCAGGGCTGCTATCAGACTCACTTGACCTAGACCTTATTTGCTGTCGTCTCTGTCTCTGTGTCTCTTCATTGTTTGAGTGAGGGTCAAGCCGTAGCTTCCACCTTTGTTAACAATTCAATGTCTGCTTTCCCTGCCCTCCTCTGCCCCAATACTCCCGACTTTGGCGGTGGTTTAATTCCTCTCTTTTCTTAATCATGTCCCAATCAAAAATGATTTTTTAAATGCTGTATCATGTCTGTTTCTTGTGGCATTTTCAACATGTGTCCTTGGCCTGCATATGCGTTTCATTAATGTGATTTTTGTCCGTTGCATTTTCCTTTTGTACCCCTCCTCTTTATTTGGAAAATTAGAGTGATTAAGTTAGAAGTTCTGTATTCATTCTGAATAATTGCCTGTTGTGAATACAACAGGTTAAGAACCTTGTGCTGAGAATCAAGAGCTTATATTAAAGTACATTCAAATTTTTGAACTTAGCAGATTGAAAGACGTTAGGCTTCCAAATGGCAATACTGCAATTCTAGACAGTCACTTTTTTTGAAGAGTATTGTAGAGCATGTTGTGTGTTTTAAATTGAACCTTAGATTTTCATGAATCTTATTCTAAAAAAATTATTCTTAAAATCAATCTTAACTGAAATTACATTCTGCCAAATTTGAGGGAACTACTTTTAGTGATTTCCCCAAGTTATTCTTAACATAGAAAATTGTCACATCAACATTTTTGTGGATGAACACTTACGGAATGCAGAATTTGCTATAAAGTAGAACAAATAAGAAACATATAGCTGAATGTCTTTGGAGAAAGTTATTTCTTCTCATGGTCGTGGCACATTATTTAAAAATCAGCAAATATTGTATAATCTAGTTAAGTGAACATAAGGACAGTTTTTAGATGGAGACCAGTAATAACCTAGGTATTGATTTCCTTCTGTTTCATCATAGACCATGTGATGAAATTATTCCTGTAAAATATAAACGTTTAAGTTTATTTTAGAAGAATTTATAGTAGAATATTTCCTCATTGTCTCTGAGTCAAAATCTCTGTTTTCAAATGTTAACTGTATTGTGACATTTGAACTAATAAAGATTCCCGGAAACTTACGTCCATTTTGTTGCACCTTCTGTATGCCTGTTGCCATGTCAGGTGTGTAAAGCTGGATGAAAGAGGTGTTTCCCTTCAGGTGCTTTTTGTGCACTTGTAGATGCAGAGAAATGACATATGCGGTAACAAAACATGACAGACACGATTTGAATTTTAAATTGTTTATTACATACTGCCTGGTACTGTCATTATTGGTGAATGGCCTTCATCACTATACTAAATTAGAAGTTTCTTGAGGATTAGGAGTATGAGTTGCTATCATATTGGATGTTCCTGCCCTGTGTGTATATTTTGAAGATTACCTTGTTAATAGAAGAAGAAACATGTTTATTTTATTTCACTTCAAGGGCTTAGCTAATGAATGAAGAGAACCTTTTTAAAATCTAATTCTTGATGCCTAAAATTTAAACTTTGTATTCTGGCTGTGGGCCTGCAAGTTACAAGCAGTGACTCATGAGTAGGGCTTTCTTCTGACCGATTCGAACAATAAGGATAATGATGGACTACCTTCACTTGCGTAGATACAGTATTTGCTCTTGTCACCTGACTACCACTTTGGGAAATTTCAAAAGGATGAGAAACTATACATATCTGAGTTTTTTCCAGGCTACATAGACAAGATTTGATTTTTGTATTATTAACCAGTCTTTTCTTTAGAAGGCAGATGGAGTTTGTGTGTTTGTATAGTTGTGAAAAAGCAGAATTCCAGAAGTATGTCCTTAGTGGAAAGGAATCAGGTCATGTCAGAAATTCTACTCATCTGTGACTAAAGGGTGATAAAGTTGAGAATTTGGTTTAAAAGGCTGGTTTTGTGGGTGGAAGCATGCTGCTATGGATCCCATTAAATGTTAAAAGAAACATAAGAGGATGATTTCTGGCAGTTCAGATGTGCCTTCATTTGGGAGGCAATAATGAAACTGTTTAAAATTTCACCGAAAAATACAGCACAGAAATTTGGCTGTTGGTTACTTTCACCATCCATTAATAAAAAATACTGAAAACCAGATGGTGTGTTAAGGACAGAGTTTTCTTAGGACATATGTGGATGACTTTAGCATTGAGTTGTGCTTAGCACAAGATAGACATCTGCCTGTAGACATTGGACCATGGTATGTTTTTGTTTTTTAACTCACTAGGTGAGGACTTAAGTTTTACTTAAAAGAAGCAAAAAAAAAAAAAAAATGTATTTCCATTAATAAAATGGTTCCAGAGAATCAGGTGTTAACTTTCCCACTCCTGATAAATTACAGTTATTTCCGTTGTGAGACAGAACAGTTTTGATCAGAATCAGTTACATTTTCTTGATATTAGGGTTGGTACAACACTTAAGAGTAGGACTGTGGATACAGGCTGCCTGTATTCAGCATCATCGCTGTGCTTTTAATTAATGGAATGGCCTTGAGTATTAAATAGCTTTCTCACTGCCCTGAGCCCCAGTCTCCTCATCTGTACTAGGGGGTTAATATTACTACTACCTTACAGGGTTGCTGTGAGACTTAAGTATAAAGCACTTAGAACTTTATTCAAAAACTGAAAAAAGTATTAGCAGGTGCTAGTAGCAGTAGCGCTGGATAGTATATTAAAGGTGAACTGTTAGACCCCTTGGATGCTTTGTTTCTTTTGTTGAGAGGCTTTCTACTAGAGCATTGAAATTCTTTCTTTCTTTCTGGTCACTGACTATTGGACTCATCTCTGCTGTTAGGTTTTAGAAGCGGGAAGCACAGGCATCTGGTTATCACTGATGGCAGATGGACTAAGTAAAGAGAGACATCTCTGTTTCTTGGAAAAGGAAGGCCAACAAAGCCTGGGCTGGCACCGCGTTGCAGCTATTGAAATGCTGTTTCCCTGTGGACTTGACTTGTTTAGCTGTATGATACTTCTGAATAAAAGGAATAGACCCCAATGGTTTCATTTAACAGAATTAAGCTTTCTTTAGAAGGCACTATTTTTTGCTTGTATAATCTTAGTTGATGGTAAACTTGAAACTTGTTAGTATCAGTGTAAAGCCATTTATTGAGTTTTGTGTGCCACTATAAATGTTCTAATAGTCGCTTTTTTTGTAATTTTAGAAGTAGCTAAAATTGCTGCTCTGCTCCGGTAATTCAAGTGGCTCAAGAATGACTTCGTAGGATTGCAGAATTATTTGTTTATGGTAAGACTAAAAACAAATACTGAAGCTACCTAATCAGGAAAATAATTTGATAATTATAGTTTCGTTTAGGCTGCTGTTTAAATAGCTAACTTTAAAAAGTTAAGTCCCAATGTTTTAGTTTAGTTGTGTGGACATTGGAAACTGCTGACTAAAAAGAACCGTTTCTGCCTAAACAAAGTGAATTGCAAACTACTGTTCTTTCTATTTTGGCTAATCTCCAGCTCTTGGTTTTTAGTTGAAATCCATTTTTATAATATATGTACTATAGAGGTTTATATAAAATATACTATTAAAAGCATATTTTGCTTTAAACATTCAGGGTAAAATGTTGTAATTCCTTCCTCCTTGTGCTGGTTTTGTTTATCTGTTTTAGCTGGTTTTTATAAGCTTCCACACACTAAGGAGGTTGGCAAATATGCGTGTATGGAGAGGTGTGACTTTTGTTTTCCTGTTTAAGAGAGGAAATGATGACAGTTGTACCAAATAGATAGAGATATATATTTCCTTTAGTTTTAGATAGTCTGAGGACTGTGCAGGGTATTTTTTTTTTTTTTTTCTTTTGAGGCAGAGTCTTGCTCTGTGGTCCAGACTGGAGTGCAGTGGTGCCATCTTGCTTCATTGTAACTTTTGCCTCCCAGGTTCGAGTGATTCTTGTGCCTCAGCCAGCCAAGTAGCTGGGATTACAGGCATGCACAACCACGCTTGGCTAATGTTTATATTTTTAGTAGAGGTGGGTTTCCTTATGTTGGCCAAGCTGGTCTCCAACTCCTGGCCTCAAGTGATTTACCCATCTCAGCTTCTCAAGGTGCTAGGATTATGGGAATGAGCCATCATGGATGGCCTGTGTTAGGAAATTTTTAAGAAAACAAGTCATCAAGGTATCAGTACTATTGTCCACAATAAAATTTGCCTGTTTTGAAAAAAAGTTCTGTCTAACATGTTGTTAATGTTTCTCTAGTGTTCTTTTTTGTTTGGTTGGTCGGTTGGTTGGTTTTTAGAGACAGGGTCTTGCTCTGTCGCCTAGGCTGGAGTGCAGTGGTGGGGTCTTGGCTCACTGCAGCCTCCATTTTCCGGGTTCAAGCAATTCTCCTGCCTCAGCCTCCTAAGAATCTGGCATTACAGGCGCCTGCTGTCACGTCTGACTTTTTTTTATTTTTTTTTTATTTTTAGTAAAGACAAGGTTTTATCACATTGACCAGGCTGATCTTGAACTTCTGACTTCTTGACTTCTGACCCTCCGCCTCAAGTGCTGAGATTACAGGCATGAGCCACCACGCCTAGCCCCAGTGTTGTTTCTACCACACTCTTTTTCAGGGACAGATGTTGCTGTCTTTCAGATATGAACATAATAAAGTCAATGTGTAACCCAAAAGTGCAAATATGAAGATGGGAATTTGATTTATGAATGTGGTCAACATTTGTTGAGTGCATTACTGTTTGAAACTCAGTTAATGAACTTGAAGCTTTTGTAGAACAAGGACCATCCTTTTTAATTTATCAGAGACTTTTGGTGAGCCACAAGCATTTTTTCTCTTACCTATATATGGCTGCAGTGTGTTCCTTGGGCATTTCCCAGGAACTTATGTGCATGTACAACCTAGGAAAATTGTAATCAGCATCCCTTAATTGCTTGTGGGTTGACCACATTCCAGGATCTTTGCTAGTTACAGATTAGGGTGGTTGCAGGAATCACAAACAACCACACTGAAGGCACCATGACTAATTCATTAGACCATCTTCAACAGAAATGAGTGTGCTAATTTTAAAGGTACTCTGTTCTTTATGCTTCTTTTGTAGGGAGATGGGGGGAGCCTTCAGTAAGGGATACTGATTGGCTCAACAGATTAAAAAGCTGTGTTAATAATGGAAATCTCTAGGTCTCAGTATACCAGAGAAAGCCTTTGGCTGACTAGCCACCGCTCTTTTTTTTTTAATTTTTAGAAATTTCAACACTACTCCTTGTCTGTGGCCAGTAATCTTGAAACTTCCATTTCAATGTGCAGTACAAAACAACTTGGATATTTAATTTGTCTGTACATTTAGAATGTCTGCCTCTTGATTTACTCTTTCTAGGCTTTTGGTTTTGGCCTGTTCGAATTAGAAGAGTTTCAGATGCCTGAAACCCGTATTCTGAATTTGTCTGGGTTATATAGTTTTGTTCTCTCTTTTTAAATAGAGGAAAAATGGCTTTATCATCAAACCTTGTTTGGTTGATATCCTGGAGGTAAATAACAGGGTTGCCCTTCTCTGATGACCAGCTATCATGGAATTAGCTGTAGGCTGTAGAACATGGGTGAGGTAGAACCTTGGGGATGAAGTAAAGGAGAGTAACTTTCAGAGGATGAGAAAAGATAATATTAAAAGTGCTGAAGGTCAAAGGTATGTTTTAATTAAAATAATTCTTTTCTTACATCAGAAACTTATTTTTGCATCTGTAAAAACTCCTGGAACACAGTTGTCCTTCAGGATTCGGGAGTCTGACCTAAAACCATTAGTAACTTGTTAGGTGTAGGAGCACTAAATATAACACACCAGAAAGTGAAATAAGGGAATCATAGGATACTGTCGGAGAACTTGAGTGGGTTGAGGCTACTCAGATTCTTATTTCCCTGGTGAAAGATATCTACTCTTTACACTTACCTGCCCCTAACCCCACAAACCATTTTCTCAGTTGTTCTTAAGGTATTTATTTAATTCATCAACTTTTTATTGTGTTTAGGACCAAATGCCAGCAACTGAGAGCCAAGTTCTAAAGACTCACATTTAAATTAAACAGTTATCTTCAAAGGAGCTTGGTGCCTGCAGTTCAGTAGACACTTACAACACAAACAGTACCGTTCATTTGCTGTGCCCTCTGCCAGGTTGCTCTTTTCTCTGTATTTCATATGGCTGGTTACCTCTTACCCTTTAAGATCTCATTTTAAGAAGTATTTCTTATCCCTTAAGAGTTGAAAGGCCTTCCCCTGGGTCATTCCTCCTGAAGTTTCTTCTTTGTTATCTCATTTCCTTTACAACGTAGATCATATTCTCTTGATTATTTTGTCAGCCTATCTGTTGTCTCTTTCATCCACTGAAATACAACTGCCATGAGGGTTCCTTGCCTGACCATTTTGTTCTGAACTGTATTCCCAGTGTCTACCCGCAGGGCTTGCTTCACATCAGTTGCATACTAAATATGCAATTATGCGTAAAAGTTTCCAAGTTGAATGAGTGGGGAAAGGACAATTTAGGCAGCTATAAAACCAGGAAACAGTCTTTTATTGGAAGAGGAGTGGTATAAAACTGAAAATGTTAGGTGTGTTGGAAGTGGAAGATTAGGTTATATAAGAAAGATGGAAGGTGGGAAGTCCACTGCATTCCAAGGCAAGCAGATGAGATTCTGTTTTTCATTCTAAGAGAGCCAAGAGATGTTTCTTCAAATAGGTATATAGCACAGTTAGGAAGATAATCCTCGTAGCTGTTTGGTAGATGGATTAGATCATGGAGACTGCAAGCAGAAAGTTCATTAGAAGCCTGTAGCTATAATGACATGTGAGTGGGCCTAAAATAAAACATGGATGCTTTGGATGCAGAAAAGAAGTTATTAAAAGTTAACTGAGCAGAGGAAAAAAATGAGAGATGAAGGATAATTCTGAAATTTCTGGTTCAGGTGAGTGAATGTTAATTGTGACTCACTCCATTCACAAAATTACAAAGAGCAAGATTTTTTGAGGGGCCTAATGAGTTTTGTTTGGATGTGTTGATTTTAAGAGATATGCCTAATAGATGATTGGGAATATGGATTCAGATCTCTGATAGATCAGGATTGATGTAAGAGCCAGCCATAAGCTCGTAGATAGCAACTGAGGCCGGGAAAGTAAAGAGGAAAAGGATTTAAGGCAGTGGTTTATAACCTTTAGGGATCTTAAACCCATTGATAATATGAAGAAAACAATGGCCTTCTCAAGTACACATACAGATTAGTGTGTATACAATCTCAGGGGGTTCCTAACCTCTGAAACCTATTGTTGAGCTTTTCAGGGTCTGGCATGGATTTCAGTTAAGAACTTCTGATTTAAGGAACAGACAGAGAAGTATTTGAGATGGGGAGAGAACTCAAGAAAGGTGCCTCAGAATCCAGGGATAGCATGGCAAGGGAGCAGTTGGAGAATCAGAGGTTCCCAGTGCTTTATGCTCTAGAGTAGGAGGGACTTTCAAGTGTTCCATTGGATTCAGCAGTGAGCCATTCATTTGTAATGTTTTGTACTGTGTAGAGGCGGAGGGCAGATTATGCCGGTTTGGAGAGTGAAGTGGGAGTCTGGGAAACAAGGCAAGGTAAACAGAGAGTAGAGTCTTGATGTTTGATGAACAGTACTGATAGAAGAATAGAGCCCTTTTTAAGGACTTCCTGAAAGGAAAATTCTATTATTTTGATTACCTATGATGATATTTCAACCCAGTGGTTCTCCACTGACTACACGTTAGAAACATCTTAGAAATGTTTAAAATTAGGGACTTACCAAAGCAAACTAAGTCTGTATCTTTGGGATTTGAGCATCTTCATAGTTGTTACCTTGTTTCTGTTGTTTTGTCTTTCTCTTTGTCTTTTTATTTATTTATTTAAGACACAATCTCACTCTCTAACCCAGACTGCAGTGCAGTGGTGTGATCATAACTCACTGCAGCCTCAACTTCCCAGGCTCAATCCTCTTTTTTTTTTTTTAATTGCATTTTAGGTTTTGGGGTACATGTGAAGAACATGCAAGATAGTTGCATAGGTACACATGTGGCAGTGTGATTTGCTGCCTTCCTCCCCTTCACCTGTACCCGGCATTTCTCCCCATGCTATCTCTCCCCATGCTATCTCTCCCCAACTCCTCACCCCGGCTGTCCCTCCCCTATTCCCCCCAACAGACCCCAGTGTGTAGTGCTCCCCTCCCTGTGTCCATGTGTTCTCATTGTTCAACACCCGCCTATGAGTGAGAACATGCGGTATTTCATTTTCTGTTCTTGTGTCAGCC